GCCGCAGCTGCGCCCCGGCAGCGCCGCGGGGAGCGCGGGCCGGCCCGGCCGCGGAGTGCTCGCGGCGCCCCGGAGCGCGCGGCTCCGTCAGGACTCCCTGCCGGCGGGGCCTGAGCCAGCCGGCCTCTGAGGGCGAAGGGCCGCGGCCCTCAGACCACAGGTGCCTCAAGGCGTCCGGAGTCCCCGTGGCCTCAAGCTGGAGCTGGTCCCAGGCCTTGCGACTTTCGAGGGACACACCTCACCACACTCCATTTGGACAGCACGTCAATGGCCACAGTATTTGGGAGTGTGACTTTCATCACCCTGGGGTACAGCTATCCAATCCACGTCTTTCCAGCTTAGAGGCAAGGACACTGTGTGGAAGCAGTACCATCAAAAGCTTTGCACAAGCACAGGCAAATGACACGAGTCACTCTTCGCTTATCCACCAGCAAGCACACTAACCCCCACACAGAGAGCCTGTACCAAGTTTATCAAGCACAATTTGCCCCTAGTGACAACAATTTTATAAATGGTCTCATTGATATCTTCAGGTTTGCATGGAATTAGGAAAGTTCTTGCAAAATACATCAAGATCCACTTTTACTGTTTAAAACTATATGCAGTAGAAATGGTTGTTGAATGGATACTATGGAACATAAAACAAGCCGGTAATTTCTAGAAATGCCCAGAACTAAGAACATGGGTTTCCTCTGCTCCACGGACATGTTGCAAATGCATTGGACAGAGGGCCCAGGGCTGTGATGTGCCCACCTGTACAGCTGGTCTAATGAAACACAGGAAGCTATGGCTAAATGGGAAGGGTTTTTAAAGTGCTTTGTCCTTGATTTACTCATGCCACAGACAGAGGGGTGTGGCTGTAAATTTAAAGGGGTGAACAAAGACACCAATTCTGAAACAAAGGGATAATTATCTTTTTGCTTCCTTAACAAAACAATACGTTATAGTTCATTTGATTCCATTGCTACAGTGCACATGGAAGCTGCACCACAAAGAAGCCCAAGAACTGTAACTTCATTATTTTTTTTAATTGTGCTATCCCGACTGCTTTTCTACTGAAAGCCAAAACTATCCATCAGAACTACAGTGAGAACTCAGACAGCTGTCACCTGTAGCTACTTGGGATTCCTCTGACATTTGCCAATACTTTAACATACCCATGGAACCTATCTCTAAGTGCCTATTCTACTGCTTCAGTGAAACATCGCCTGTGCAGTTCAAGATAAGCAAAAGTCTCTGATGACAGCAGTGATACCACAAGAGGTCCTCCAAAGAAATGCAGTAAAGACCAGAGGTAACTGGGCAGAATCAAAATGTATTTTAACTCAAGCACACAAGCTCTTCCCAATGCCTCCCTTAGGAGCAGTCCTGTGTAGTGGGACATGTCTGCCCTCTGACTGGAATGACTTGGTGAGAAGTAGAGCAGGTTCTCACACTGCAGCACAGGCACTTTCACATCAGGCTCCCCTTTCCCTGTTTTCGTCTGTCTTCAGCTGTGGACTCTGCTAACTCCTTCCCTTTATGTGAGGGCAACAACAAGAGGAGGAATTTCCCTAGAAAGAAGTAAGTGGTTGCATGTTCCATCTGCAATGTCACATCCAATGCACAAGTTAGAAGTATCAGAATTGTTCATGGTGTTACAGAAGACAGATTGAGAGGGGAGACACGGCGTGTGGGAGTGTTGTTGGCTGACAAGGATGCAGGAAGGAAAAAGGGAGCAGCAACATCTGTGGATGATGTTTCTCCTTGGTTGCGAAGCTGTAAGATCTGGCGCAGCAGGGCCTTTCCTTCTTCTCTAGTCTGAAATTAATTTGTAGAAAACAGAACAATACAACTATGAATGGATGGTTTCTGGGTCAAATTTAATATGTAAGCAGTATAACTTAAAGTAGCTTGTCATTCTGTAAGGCTACAAGCTATAAAAGCAATTCTCAATTCTTTTTTCTTCTGCTCCTTCAAAATGTTAAGGTAAGTCACTTTTTTTTGTTTTAAGTCTTTCCTCCTTTTACTCCTGATTGGTGTGTTTCTTGGGTATTTCAGAGAACAGAACCATCAACCACTGAAGTTGTATAAATATTCCAGCAAGAAGTAGATTGGGAAAACTTTCAATAAGGTGAATTCAGGTTGTAGAGAGCTCCAGGCAGCTTTGTCAAGGATAGGCCAAACATCCTGCACTCATGGTTAGTGTCTACCATTAGGCTGAAATGAAAAATCCCAAACTGCCCACTTACAGATACATAACATCACAGAGTATGGAGCTGCACACAAAACCCAAGTACTATTATACTCTCTGCACCATCTACACACAGAAAATGAGAAAAAAAAGTTTTAGAAGTATCACCACTACACAGTGTGTGGGAGTTTGTGACCATTCAGCTACCTCCTCAACACCAGGATTTTTAGCAGCCTTAAGACTGCCATGTGAAGTTTCAAATTCTTTTACTTGGTGAATTCCAGTGAGGTATGGTTCAATTTCACTATCTACACCACATTCCATGACTTTTATCAACCATACTCAGCATAACTGATCAGGTATACAACCACCACTCAGGATGTGACCTGTATGGCAGACAGACCTCATTTCTTCATAAAGGATTCCTTCTACTCTGAGGGGAGCCAAGATCAAGGTCATAGATCCATTAAGAAAGAAGCACCAAAGACTGCACAGGTACTCACATCATTGAAGGCACAGCATTTCTGAGCACATGCTGAGGCTTCATCCCAAAGCTTACATTTGAAGTAGTACTGGGCCAGGTAACGAAATGCAGTGCTGACCTCCAGGTGCTCCACTACCTCCTACATTGAGTGGGGTAAAAAAAATCATTTGTAAGTGCCTTCCAAAGTAGTTGTACACCATGTTTACTTCTCCTTTTATTCCCAAGCTATCTTCTTACCCCACAGGAATAGATATCCTGGATGTATTTGATGTAGCATTGAGCTGCCTGTTCAGATTCATTCAGCTGTTCGTGCAACCTACAAAAGGAGAAAAGTGGGTCACTGGAACAAGACTGCACTGTCAAAGACCTTGGTCTATGAGAATGTACCTGCTCACCCTGACCTGGACTAAAGCCAGGTCCTTTCCTTCAGAAATTGCAGGACATGCAATATGTACTACCTCTTGTGGAAAGAGATGATCCAGTTTGCATTCAGGCTGACAGACACAGAGGCAGTCAGATAGTGACTAGTCAGCTAGAAGCAGGGACCTTTGTATATTCTGTTACATTTTAAACCTTTTAACAGACCTTTGACATTCTATTTACTCACTATTTCCTCCAGTGCTCCTTCTTCCCCTGCTACAACCCAAATTTGCACAGCAGTTTCACTTTTAATTTGCCCTTTTTTTCCCCTCTTCACTTTTCCCACTTTATGTTACTTTATCTCCACCAAAAAGAATTAGTGTTGATGTCACAGTATTCACATTAGACCTTTCCAATGTCACAGCCATATACTAGAAAGGAAAAATAAAATCAAACCACAATTTTGAACATCATCTACCATCAAAAGCAGCAAAGGGCTGCTTTTAAGTTGCAGTACAACATATACAATTGCTAGTACTGCATGCTCAAAACACCTCAGGATTCAGAAATTCTTTGCAACCCACAAAATGCCATCATTCTCTCTAGTTATCCTGATGGAAACAAAGATAAAGCTGGACACCAAAATTTGCAGTCACTACAGCCCTGAAGATACCAATTCTTACACAGTTCCAGAAGTAATATTAGCTAACAGCAATTCCACTTGTTTTATCACTGGGTATCAAAGTGCGACTTGCATTTAACAGAACCCTGACAGTTCAGTGAGGGTACATACTCACTTGGCAAGTTTCACAAGTGCCATTTTCTCCACGTCTCCCACAGCATAAGCTCTCCAATAGCACTGTCAAGGAAGGAAAGTCAGTCAAGCATGCCACAAAAATTAGTCCAGCTCATGACTTCAGCATGCAAATCAGAAACAAAAAATTACAGGGATTGTCAGCAAAAGGGGCATCTATCTGTAGACAACTCCTTATTTATCAACAGCTCTAGTTATATTGCAGCAGTACTTCCCCAACTGTAACTGCCAAAGAGTTTAGGTTGCACTAGCAACATAATTTTGCTGCAATTTCACCCAGTATTCTGGAAGACACCCTAAAGTCTTACACATCAGTTCTCACCTTCTTAGCTTCCACCAACTGATTGAGTTTCTCATAGCATTCTCCTAGAGCAACCAGCATACGAGAATCATTTGGTCTGTAAAAGAGCAATTCTTCAGGTAGTTTTATAGACAGCCAGCTGATCTCAGGGTGAGGGAAAGATGGGGGGTGGTCAAGGGAAAAAAATAATCTACACCTGGCAGTCTGTCATCCTTTTGCATAAAGCATCACTCTTACTCCTGACAAATCATCCTCAACATTTAACTGACAAAGCTTTTGTTAACAGTTAACTAACATCACTAAAAGGATTTGGAACAGTGGGACTGCACACATCACAAAGCATCAATGTTTTTTTCCTTCCTCAACTTAGTTCTTGCACGTAAATTCCTTAGCCAGTATCAACCAT